CGGCAGGCACGAGCTAACGACCCCATTCATCTGCTAGTTCCAAATGTGGAAGAATGCAGTAGTGTCGGAAATTCAGGTCTGCTCCATTCATTATAGGATGCCGACCGTATGAACCATCAGCATACATAACCATGGAATGAAACCCAACCCTCCTGTCATTAGCTAGTGTACAACCATGTTGGGTTTAACATATCAATGAATCTAGGTTAAACATTATGCCGTGGATAGTATTCAGCGGAGCAACGTTCATAGCAAGCCACTACCACTGAAAGGAAATGGGCCTTCGCCGCGGATTTATTTATTAGAAAACGCCTACTAACCAGTTACAGACTATTGGACAGGGAAGCAAAACTCCATATGTATCCTGGTTTACAAAAACTGAACATCCATCTTCTGTTGAACGCGTCTTCCTGAACTTTCCTGGATATTCACTGACTGTTTCTCAAATCCAAGCAGATGTTACAAAGCTACTCCACAAATTCCGCAATAGATCTCCCTTTTCAAGAGACGCAAAGCGAATTTACAAGAAAACATACTACTCGCATGCCTCCCCATCAGTAGTATCACCGTTACACCACTACTACCAACAATCACAACCTATATTGTGTGCCTCTGATAAAAGGCAAAGACTAAAAAGGAATAAAAATTGTAAGATTGGTAATGAAAGGTCTCAAGCTCTGCAACAATGCCTTAAGAGGGAACTTACCTGAGTACGATTCTGGTCATCATGAAGCTTAGCAGGTATTCGCCCTCAGCCCGTTTCCAAATCAAAGCGCAGGTCATGGTAAACAACTTAATTCAGCATAGAAAAGGTTCCTCACAAAAATGGTACAAATCGTTTCTCAGTTACTTCCGTCCGAGGCGATTAATGGACAATGACCGAAAATGACAGGATAAATCGACTTTGGTTACTTGCACGTGATTATGGGATTGACGATGAGCAAGTGCATGTCTAATAGGATCAGTCAGCACCTGTCTCCACCCAACCGGAGGAGTTACAGTTACTGCGTGTTCTACTCTCTCTCTCCAGGAAAGGGGTACTGGGTACTGCAGTTGGTTTTTATCCGGAGTTGTCTATTTCAATTGGAGGTTTTCTGGTGAAGAAAAAGCGAACTTTAAGTGGTTATGGTCTTTAGCCAATGGGACTCTGTCAGGAAACATGTGTTTACCTTTTCGGTTTATGATAGCACTTACCTGTAGAAACACTGGAGGCACTTTGGAGTGAAAATCCTTCTCGAACCTATTAATGTGATTTGAGCGACAACAGCACTTGGAATCAGCCTGACGTAAGGGCAATCACAGTATCGTACATTCGTGCGCCTCCGTTTCTCTGAATCCGTCTGAAATAACTTCACGTGTTGGGCGATTCATTCGCTGGTAGAAAGACTACGATCAGTAATCTAGAAATCAAACCAAAATGTGTTTATTCACAAGTTTTTATTTTAGACGTAGATAGCTCCCGATGGATTGTCCGCGCATAACTAAGAAAATAAGGTTTGAAGAAGTCGACTGTGACAAAACTTCAATACCCATGCAGCAGTGACTTGCGATTTCGATTGAACCGATTACTCGTAACTAATAAAGGAAATACCCTTTGTGTTTATGCTATCTAAGGTTTTTTCTGCAGCGCCTGATCGCTTTGTACAGATCATTGAATTTGGAAACATCGAGTTTACCTTGCTTTGACGGATGTTGGCCTCGAAATGCAGGATACTGCTTAAGATAGGCTTCCTAAGGTTCTGTAGATACGCGACACCAAGAGACGTGCACGTGACAAGACAGTTTGTATCATGGACACATAGTATCACTATTTTGATGTGCATATCACGTGTGTCTTGTTCGTTACAGGTATAAGCGAAAGCCAGTTCTAATCTTCCAACCGAATAACCTTGTACGCTACGTTCGCGCCGAATTCAGTGCGGTCTTTCTCAAACTCCAGGTTTCTTTATCCACCGTACCCGGTGATTTGGCCATTAATCTCCGTGGCATAAAAAAACAGACCACAGTGTCAGCTAACCAACCACTTCTGTGAGTCAGTACGTGTAGCAGCTGGCCTTCCTATGATGCTAGCTTTGCTGACAAAAGTTCGTGTCCTTCGGTGGACCTCAGCAAATGGGTCTGCGGGTCGAATCAATATAGACGTGTGTACCGTCAGTATGTACTTGGGTGGATTGTATCACGATATCATTTAGCCGTCTTTACTCTCTAGCCACGTGGCGTACTTGAGGCTGAGCATATTAGTGCTTGTGTTGAACTTGATCACTTGTACTGTTTGACCTACTAGTCAAAACGAACTGGATGCTAGGTGCTAATGATGCGGGTGCGTTTAAGGTCAACAAAACACTAAATGTCCATCGTGTGGTGACTCATTTAACTGCTGTCTGAGCACGGCAGAAGACGTTCATGTATACAGCTATCAGTTCTGTGTTAGTTAGGGTTGTTTAGAGCTATTTCATTAAAAATCAGCACCTGAAGTCAAGAGGTCTTATAGTGAAATCCAGTGGTTCACACCTTTGGATGTCATGTTTTGCTATTTTTAACCATGGACCGTTTTCCTGAGTATGGTAGGAAAGATGCCAGTGGATCTGGCCAATATCAATCCAAACGGTCATTTTGTCTCTTTGGGGTTATTTCTCCTGTTCCTCTTAGTTTCAAGTCTCTGTTTTCGTAAATGACACATGCCTTTGATAGCATATCATCAAATATATCAAGACGATTTCCTCCCAACTACGGCACATTTAGACTTTACAATAAGAAAGTGTGCCGGACGGACGGCAGTGGTGGTTGGTATACTATGGGTTCATATAGGGGGCGGTTTCCAGCCTGGTTGTACGGTACTGATGTTGTCTCCTTGCAGACTACGTGAACGATTACTTTTGTTGTCTTCTTGTTCTGACTTTCGATTGGTGTCCATCGCTTTCTTTATTTATCTGTAGTCCGTCCATTCCACTTGAGTCAGTCACGGGCACTCGACGCTGACCGGGCTTAATTTTGTCCGAACTTAATGTTGAATTTGAAATTTCTCCTCATTTTCGTACCTGGGAAGTCCACCAAATCGTCTTTCGAACTGGGGCGAGAGTCCACCTCTTGCTCACTTTGTTGACCGACTGAGGTTAACTTGATGCACTGCTGCTATGTGGTTAAATGGAGATGGGGGGGGCTGAGTGGTACCAGGGGCGGGACTGTTGTGCGCATGCCTACGTAATGAATAACATGAACTCAAGAGCCGGTTCCATATCCCTCATGAACTGTTTGAACGTTGAACACTCACTGAGGCCCACAGCATCTGTTAAACTGGTAGCTGAACTACACCATAATGGATAATTTCTGCCGAGGACGACTTTCGAAGAGCTATACCATATGTGTCTAAAGCATTTTTTTACTTTCACTACATGTCGAGCCCACTACATGCCTGGTCCAGTATATGGCTGCTAGCTGTCGTCAGTAGCGTTCGTTCTGCCAGTCTTTACCCAAATCGTCTGAATGAATGTTCATAGGTGTAGGCATCTCGGGATTGTGGCAGACCAGCATTAAGCCTCTTTTCCTTTACTTTTCCTTGTTTTGCCTTGGTTTTGAGTTTTTGTTTGAACCAACAGTTTTGTCGACGACTCATCAGGGTCTACAGAAGATCTGTCCCCAAATCCCACCTGCTCTTTCAATGCTTACTTGTGTTGAGATACATGAGCAAGATTCGTGTACTCTGTCACCTCTGGCCATCAAATCAAATGGAATAAACTGAAAACCTGAATTTTATTACCAAACAACGTGAACTGAGAATCGCTTACTTGACACAGGCTACTTTTGAGGCTACTGAAAGCTCCTCGGCAGCTATTTTCCGCTTTAGTCCTCCACCCTAGGGCTGGAATCCAGTTTGGTTTGCCGTTAGCACCAAATTATTGTTCAAATGAATGTACTCCACCGGCTAGGAAGCAGTTGGTTATGTGGAATGTACCCGCTTTTGTCTGAAATAACACGAGATACATCAACTCGCCTATAGGCAACACTCGTTATTCCGGTGGATTAATTCCAGGTGATGTCGAACAGTTGCTGTTCAACTGTTGTATTCAGTTCCACTCGGCCAAGCGGAGATTCCCCCGAACAGGAGAGGATTTCGATTGTTCGGGAGAGAATCGATGCCTCCTTTTTTCGGTCAACGTTTACCTCGTAATTACACCCCCGATTACGAGATCGCCGCAGAGAATGTTAATTCTTATTCGACCCTTGCTACCAGGTTGTCAGAATAATGTTGCAGCGAACTTTTCATGGACACTCTTCTCCTTCAATTCAACCTTTGCCCCATTGTCAGCAGTCTATTTGTCTACCATTACGGTCTTTGACAGCAACACACCAGTACTACATACTGACGCTTAACCGCTATACATCCGTGAGAGAAGAAAGTCTTGGTAAAGAGGAGAAGGAAAACGGAAGGTTAGGCAGCCTTCCCAACTGTAAATTGGGTTGCACATCATCGTCAGCTGTAGATATATATGCGGATTGTATATTGATCGTAGCCACCATATTCTTCCTATCTTACTCGAGTTCACTTCATTCTGATTTTTTGGTGTTTTGGTAAAATTAGTAACGAAATATGGTTAAATAAATTACTAACACCTAATCGTCCAGCCTCCGCCACGAAGAGACTGGACCTTACCGTGGTGTGACGGTTTGCGCACCTCAGCGATCCATTGAGCTATACTGGAGAGTGTCCCGCGACACTCACAAAGTCTCTTATACCAGGTTGGTCAATGGTTAGAGGTCTGACTAACACAGTCTCCTGGCCCTCCAAGTTGGGGTTGGAACATGTGGCGACTTGTTCCGTAGAAATGGTAATGCATTTGCATTTCCCGTCAAACACCGCTGCCTTGCGGTTAGGCTTTTGAGCCAGAGGCTTTGGTTGAGGACCCTAATCGTCCCCCTGTCTAGGTGTGGGCGCCCTGGCAGTATCCCAGCCCACGTACAACCATGAATTGCACATACACAAATAAACTCATGTACGGCAGTGAAGCATCGGTGTTGAACACTGATGTCATGCTGTCGATGACGATGATGAATCGTCCAGCCTTAATGACCTTTCGGTGCCTAGCTGCCATGCCACTTGAAGGAAGCACGTGGGTTGAGATACCGCTCTGTTGCCCAAGTCTAGACAGGGGTAGTAGAGATGCCGGAATCGGGTCAAAACCACGAACCTTTTTGTCAGTAAGTTCGCGTTTTAACCACTGGGCTATCTCGAGCTCACAGCAGATAGATGGATGGAAACGTAAGTGTTGGTATATTTGACGTGCATCGGAATGTGTCCTCCTCAAGGGCGGGGAATGTGGAACCCCCCTTAGCTCGTTCAACGGAACTTACGACGTTGAAAGTTCACTTACAAAGTATCCAGGAAAAACCGTATTCGTTAGAACGGAGTATTTTGCACTGATACATTTTCAAAATGAATAATAGTGTGTGAATATTATTGTTCTATTCTATCCTATTCTACTTGAGTACATCTGTAGAGTTCTAATAAAGTGCCACTTCTGCTTGAGGTCATTTCTACTTATTTTCTTCAAGTAGTGATTTTGAGTGGCTTGAAAAGCTTTCGGGGATGGGGAAGAGATCAAATAACCACCTGCAGCATGTCAAAAAAGGGGAGCATGATTCGAAGTAGGTTACAGTCATCATGCATTCACAATATGAATGCCAACTGTCTACGTAATTCCGGCTGACCCGGATCATTTTGATTCAGACCTTTCTATTTGCGTCAGGTGTGTGGTTTCCGTAGTTCCAGTCGGTTTGGCAAGGCACCACGGTATAAGTGCATAGAAAGCACTGGCCTGTCGTCTGGTTTGCCTGACGCAGTGGATTGCGTCGTGGTTGAAACAGCAACGGGCGTGGGTAACAGTAGTGATGGTGGCGTGGCTGGTGATTAGGTGGATGATGATGATGATGCCGAAAAACAGATCGATGCTGTTTCCTTTTTCCCACCTTATGGACAGCCGGATGGGCAACCCATTGTATGAGCCATTCTGGCAACAGCCAGTCGATCCGGACAGTGTGGGCGCGTGCGCACGCGTGTTCACATGTGACCTAATTTAACTCCACGTGTACCAACGACAGTGTGAATGAGAGTGACGGAAGGCAGTACATCTGCGGATGAATGGATCGTTGCGGCTGTCACTTTCAACCATACTGGATGTGCACAAGTAACAGGGGGATGGCCGTCATCCAGACAGCTCTAGCAAAACCGTTATGGCACCCTGAACCATAGGCTTGAAGGATCCCAGTGGTGTAGATTACTAATTGATAAGCCGCGTTATTTTACTCATCTGGAGTGACAGTCTTCATTTGTAAAGACCTACCATGGACTTTCCCGCTTTTGACGTTTTTTCTGTGTCGCACACTAAGTGAAATGCTATTTTGGTGGCACCAATGAATGTAAACTCACTCGTTCCGTTCATGATGATAATTAAATCATTCGTCTTTGTTTCGTGACCACCGTCCAGATAAACAGATCTGTGAATGAGTTTTAGTACTGGGTGTTAGGTTATCACAAGACTGACATTTCCTAGATGGATAGCTTTTTCAGCATCGTTGTCGGATGTTGAATGGCTGATTTTGAGTATCTGACTTGTGTCCCTGGTTGATGAGACTCAATTCGAACCACGTGACGGTTACATTAGCCGTGCGACTAATATCCTTCATTAGATACATATATTATATATGCATACATGCATGCATGTACTATATGCATATACTACTAGTGTGCTGGTTACTTAATTAATTAGTTAACAGTTTGGTTGGTCGCTTTGCTGGTCTGTTGTTTGGTTGTTTGGTTGGGTTGAGTAGACCTGCATATTGTGAACCGCTTAGTATATACGTTCGATACGATTAACTGTTGTGTGCTTGACACCAGTGGCTATGCTATTTCTCTCATGTGCTTCTGATTTGGTAATGTGTATTTTCAGGTGTACAGTCCGAAATGGCAATGCCTTTTGAAGAAGTTCTTGTGTACTAACGGTACCCTATCCGTCCAAGTAGTCTGGACCGATTCACATACAAGTACTCACACATTTTTCGGCGCTTGTTGGATCGCTAGACTTGTAGGAGCGTTTCACTTCCCAAGATGACAATAAAACGGTCATCTATTGAAATTTGAAGTGACAATCGGTCGGGCTTGTTTGCTGGCTGTACAGTTGTAATGAATTAGTTCATGCTAGGATATACTTACCCTCACTGTTCATCCGGTATTTTTGACTTTTTGAACCCTTGATCCCCCTACCCCATTTTCCCCTTTCCATTCTAAGGCCCTATTCAAATAAATTCACATCATTCTATAGCAGTGAGGCACCAGTCTTTTCATCTGGTGTTATTGTCAATGATGATGATGACTTCCTCTCTCACAGGCTTTCTTCCAATTTCTGCGTTCTCATACGTTCCCCGTTAATACAAATTCTGTTGACCAATGAAAACTATTCGCTTGTCAGTAGAATTTGTTCGAGTTCACGCATATCATCTTGGCCATACCAGTCAGTGGTCATCGCCAGTACTGGTTATCTTTCTTTTTCAGCATCGCTGAGGCGCTGGTTAACAGTCAAGAAGCACACTATGCTTCGTCGCTTACATCAGATCCGAATACCATCGATAGCAATGGACATCGGTCTGCTTCTGGGTCTCCTATGGAAACGTCTTCGACCGTGATTTCCACAGTCTCCGGTGAATTGACCACAAATGAGCCGCCCTTTGAAGCTAATGAGCATTCTTCCCCTATGCATTGTTCCTCATCTCATCAACGTTTTACCCTAAGTCCAAATTCCGCTACAACTACCTCCGTACGAACATTGAGTCCTAATCCATCCAACAGTCCCTGTACCGTCACTCGCTCATCGAGCCCCGAACACGACAGTCAATTGCCTACACATGGTCGCCGTGCTCCGACAGGACAGTGTAACCAGGGGCTATTGTATAGCTTATTGGTGAGCAACGAAACTGGTGCAAGTCAACCCCACTCTCCGTTGCAGTGTGCATCTTCTCTGTTCACCTCAATGCTCAAGCCCCCATTGCTTCGCTCAAAACATAACTCCGAAGGTGATGAAATGCGGAAAGACAACAGCAATGGTGTTTTTCAAGATGACTCCGATGGAAAGGTCACGATGAATGGCCCGTCGCTTTCTTCGTCGGTCAAATGCAAGTCCCACACATTGAACATCCTAGGCAAAGGAGGTGCAAAGCTAACGGCACTGCATGGGAGTTTTCGTAACCGTGCAAGTTCGGTCGGGTCTAAAGTTTCTGCAGGTCGGCCACACCTGCGTACTTATGCAGCTGCTTCAGACAGCTGTCTAGGGACAAAAGCCAGACTGCAACATCGCCGTCATTCGGAACTGACTAGCCATGATATGCCCAATTTCTCTGCCCAACCCCATTCCATCCCTGGTTACGAGGAGACTCAGACGACCGGCTCAGCTGAGAACAATTTGGTCGTCGGTCTGCTGGGATCACATCTTTCCAGTCCCCAATCATCCAGTCACCCCAGTCCAAGGGTCGCTAATTCAAGCCATACGATTCCAGCTAGGTCGACGGGGAAATCCTACGAAGCGTTGAGTAACTCGAGCTCTTTCCAGACTGAGCCTCATCGCTCTCTGTCTGCAGATTCCGGTGTTGATGAACCTATCGACCTAACCGGGATATGTACTCCCCCTGCCCCCGGTGCTTCTGATGAACAGCAAGTAAGCCCTGAAAATGGGAAGCCGGTCGCCGAGTTCGAATCCACTTTTGTGCAACTGGCGAAGAAAACCGCTCGTCCTGTCCAATCTCGAATAACAGAGTGGCTCCGACAGCTAGTTGAGTTTGTTGCCCTATCCGCTCCAGTTTTGGGTTCAGTGTGCGTCAGTCCATCACTAAATCTACGAAATGATACCAATGGTCATGGTCTGTGCTCAGATATGTTATCCTGGGTATCTCTTTTATCCTCTTGTTGGCATCGGCTGCTGGTGCTCAATATGGTGGAACATGCATTGGACCTGGTTGTCGTCGAGGATCGGTCACCCCAGCTTGAAGCCGTTTCGATAACCACAGGCTTGGACCAGTTAGGACTACCATGGATATTACTAGCAGACGTTCAAAACAACGGTCTTGTTGCCGCATTGGAGCCTGGAAGGAGACCAGACAGAGACTTCACAGATCGTTTGATGCATTTAATGTCCGAACTTCGTCAGGCCGCCCTCAGTGCACAGGAGTTTTATTTACTGCGCCACGCCGTCCTCCTAACCGGTATGTTCTACTAACTTTGCCTTTTTTCTATCAACAGGTTCACACCATTCTCTCTCGTTACTGTGACGAGCAAGCAAGAGTACGCCGGCACACGTTCTGCTTATGTGTGCGCGTACTTTACGTGCATTTTCACCACGTTCACATGCTCGCGAATGCCTAAATAAGCGAGCCGATCGAATTGAGGGTACAGTAACAGTGGCTTTGGCTACATCTTTGTCCTTTCGTACTGGCCGTTAAGTGGAACGATGAAACTAGCTTTCGGACTGCGAACGCCATCAGGCAGTGTCACAGACAGTCCGTTTTTGAGTCCACACCCCTACACCGATACTTAGGTGTGTGCATGTACAGTTATGTAGTTGCGCGTCAGTGCATCACATTCATATCTATGACACACGTTCATTCACGTATTGGCAAGACGTTCCAGATCACAGTGGTGATTCGGTTGACCTTTCCCTATCCACAGTCACCATGGAAGAGATCGGAAACGGAGAGTTTGTTGTTCACTTGTTACGATGTGTGCCATCGGATACAGATGTATTGCTTCACCAGTAGATGGGACTGGCACTGTCATCCTTGTAGCAATTGGATGTTGCGCTTTGCAAACACCTCGTTCCAGTGCGTATTTGCAAGCCATGTCTTCTAGGCCTTAGACTATTCGATCTAACTTAAAGGTACTTTGATAAATCTAAATTATTTCGATGTATGTAATATCAGCGCCAGAAGACAGTGTTTCAGCTTATAGCGTTTTCGAACACTAGGATAACCTCCATTCCGCCCGCTACTCAGTGTCAGTGTTCATTAACTAAGGCTTTTGGTAAATTCTGTCTAGTCGTGTAAGCTAGGGTAAGAGGCACCGGGAAACGAATATCTCAGAATAACGTTGAAAGCAGGGATACCTCTCGGTGCACATGTTCATTGTGGGAATATATGAAAAAGTTGTTTGCTTTCATAAAACATAACTCGTACTGATAGTAATCGCAACATATTCGGTAAAACAAACACAAACAGTAAAACAGTGATCCTTATTTGCTGGCGATATCGAAAAAGAGTGGTCTTTTTGAATACTGTGTGTGTAGGAATTCGAGTCTTGGTTGGAACGTGCTCAATGTAGGCTGATAGGAAGACAATTTAGGACGCTATTACGTGACATGCAAAGAAGCATTTGTTAACGGTTGACCTCGGAGTCTACATAAACGAATGTTGCGCTGAATACACTGAGTACAACTGTGATCATCCTGGACGCAGGGTGAGGATATTGTTCGCGATCATTATCAAGGTCCGCACCTTCTCGGGTATGTTGATAAATTCTCTAACTCACACCCATTTGGGCTCACACACTACATCTATGCTGGAAAGCAGCGCAATCTAGGCAGAGGCTCACTAGGTGGATTGCAGAGTAGTCCGTTCTGTCCTGTGGGTTCTGGATGGGATTGATTGGTGGTTGACGAGTTCACAGGAGACAACTAGATTCCGAAACCATAATGGTGGTTTACGCTTGTGCGGAGCCAATTTACTGGATCAAACATAAAAAACAGATAAGCTTTGAAAGTAACGAATTGTAAGGTTGCTGAAAACTGTCCGACTGGCCACGACCGATTTCGCCCATCTTGGGGCTCATTAGGTAGTCATACTCAGTTGAAGGATATCACGAACGAAAGAATCAGCTGAGATTCAGTTGATTCCTTTGTTAAAAGCAAACTGGTACGCAAATGAATGTGTTTCGCGAACTCTGTACAATTCGGCTTCAAGTAGAATATGAGAATGGCAAACCACTCGTGGACTGTCGAATAATTTTCGCGACCTTATGGCTAGCTTTCCTTGCAGAAAATATACTGTGATATCTCGATATCCTATCAACTGAAATGTAAGGCGGCTTTTGTACAGTACACTCAGTTAAAAACCACCATAAACGAGGGATTCGGCTGGAATTCAGTTGAGTCTCTTGTTTAAACCAAATTGGAATGCAAAAGAGTCCAGTTAAAAACCACCATAAACGAGGGATTCGGCTGGAATTCAGTTGAGTCTCTTGTTTAAACCAAATTGGGATGCAAAAGAGTCCATTTGGTGAAATATTGGGCATATGTGTAGTTGGAACGACTGCGTCCTTCTTTATCCACAAACTAACATTGGGATAACTATATATATATATATATATATATATATATGAGAAAAGATATGCTACCCATACTTTTTGCATCTGTGTACTCACAGCCAACTGCATACTTGAAACAAGAATTTTTTTGGGTGAGAGAACATTATAAAAAGCAATCACTTTTTATCCTGGAATTTCTATGGGCAAATTCCGCCTCAGAGTGTCAAAAGTTGAAATTCGGAAATTTTGCACCCGTAATCCTAGTATGTCTGACTCCGAAGACTAGTTTGGAACCCGGGCCGTGAAAACTATTCGAGTTCTAGTCTCCTCACGCAATTCGAACGTTACATCATGCCCGCAGTTTTGAGAAAGAGCGCTATCTGTTCAATTAGTAGTGTGTAGTATAGTAGTAGTGTTTAATGCAGTTTCTATTGGTTACATATTTTACGGGGTCTAGCAATGGCTATATTTCCCACCGTATTGTCCAATTTGGTTCGGAGCACTCATTCAAATTCCGTCAGAGGTTGCTGATCGGCAACAGTATTGCTGAAGTCTCATGTCCATGGGCATTAGTACGCTTGCCCTACGTTTGTTCCACTTTCTACTCAGTTGTCTAAAAGACTAATGTATTGGTCCTGTCTTTGTGGTGTATCTTGGACCTTAGGTGCTTCCAGATTGCCTAGCTAACTGTTGGCCCATTCCAGAGTGAGCGAGGATTACTCCACACTTCGGATCTTAGCATGCACGTGAAAACCCACTATACAAAATGCTACTATCGCTACTCCAACATTCTCCGGCCGATATGCTTTTCTTCAGTTTGTGCCCGTCAGCTGAGCCCGGCAGGACCAGCCAAATGGCACTTGTACTTCAGTTGAACGGAGCTTTTGGTTGTTGTTGAACAAACACAATGCTACTAACCAAGAATAGTCTAAGTAATTTCAATTGCTTATTCAGTGATTGAATCGTACGAGAAGATACATGTGAATGCCGGGCAGTATTCTACTTTCAGACAGAGACCCACTTACCACCTTAAGTGGCAGTACCTGGAAAGACCACCTATCGAGATGGCTCCATAGACTCCTACTTGTGTCAAACTGAATTCTTGATTTGATGGTGTCTTTATTATTGTCAATATCATATTAGAGCTAAGCGAATTTCTGCAAAATATTCCCTTGACGGGAGGGGAGTGTTTTTCTGCGACAGAAATCGTCTTCTCGAGATTAAGAGAACACTTTGCTTCAACTGATCAACCGAAACAGAGTTTGTTACAGACCGTTTCTCATTTTGGTCACATGCAGTTATATGTAACCTGCACAGGAAAGTGCATAAGTGGAAACAAACGTCAATTAGACGGCAAAGTTCGTGTACCATCGCCTTGCAGATATCTTGTCTGTAGGTGGATTCTATTGAGAGGTTGTCAGTGTGCTATCCTTGTACACTCAAGACGGTTCTCTAGAACCGTCTATTCATCTTCAACACTGAAACGACGAAGTTAATGTCTTCTTGAATTTTGGATTTCTAAATTGAGCGGCCAACCGTCTCTTATTGTCACTGATTGTTCCCAAAACCGAGCCTGAGTAGGTTGTCCGAATTTTGTGGGAAAAGGCTAATTAGTTCATTGTGATAACATTGACATTAAGTTTTGTGCAACAACTGGAAAAATGTGATGCGGATACAGATGGAATGATGCTCCGTAGCAAAGTGGCCAGAATACTTTGGTTCCTTGTCCACTCGATCACTGCTAGCCTTGCGTGTAACCAGGTATCCTTGTGTGCGATAAGTGATTTTTTTGTGTGGCTCGGCTGTTCAACCACAAACCATTACCATGTTTTCGATGATTCTAGCTGCGATAATTCCGAATAAGAAGTATAAGACGCTTTCAGTTTGCTTTGTTTGTTTGATGAAGCGTGGAGTGAAGAATGCAGGACAGCTATTGGTCGTATGACAAGATCGTGAGTTTCGGGGTCCCTGACCCTTGGTGTATCCAATTTTGGGTCTCCATCCGAAAATACTCAGCTTCCAAAGCGGTCGAATTAACTAGCAAGGCCTTTTGTGCTTTGCTACCTCATCATTGGTCGACTTTCTCTGGAACGTTTCCCCCCGACATATGACTTAGCAAAGAGTGGTCTGAGGGGCAAAAGAAGTATATCTAACCAGGGTAACTCATGGAATGTAACCAGCTGATCTACCGAAGAAGAGTATTTTTTCCTGAAAACAACCCAGCACACCTCGGAAGCATTCAGTCCATGTTTCTACACATCCACACGATGTTCCGGAAACTTTGACGCTCAAACACAGCTTCTAAATACCTGTAGTATACGGCGGCCAAATTTCTGATCAACCCTATCATTAATTTCCGAACTGGCATCACTTTTGTGGAACATATGTCATTAGATTGCCCAAAAAGCCCCTGTCGGTTCGCACGAACATTTTGACACAGTCAGAACTTTCAAATGGCATATCTGCATGTGGTTTGCCTTAAAAGTTCTTTGATGTTTAGTCCACTTACTCATGACCCCATACGCCACAGCATGCTTTATGAGGTAGATGTTAGTGAGTTAAGTCTTATAAACATGCACTAAGTGGATAAACAGTTTATCCTGCTTTTTGCACGATTCCTGCCTGGTGAACTAGCGAATTGGGCTTTGTCACTGGTGATGACTGTTGTGCTACTGATCATGAAGTTTAATACCGCTTTGTTAAATCTTGCCTCCAAGCTGAAAACAGAAGGCACAGCCTATCATGCGGAGTCTGGAACGGATTCATTTTATTTCATCTAACTATAGATTCATAGTCGGAAGTTACGGAACGGTCCGACAGAAAAAGGCATTTATCACTAGAGGAGTATTCTCCCCTCCGACTGAAACTGCTGTTGTCACTACAGTCAGGTCCGGTTTATCAGTTATAAGAAAATCTCAATTTGAGCGCTCAGATCTCGTCTGATTTTCACTAATTCGCACTTGTGTTATTTGTGAGTTACGGTCGAAACTACCTGTCGGGTGTTTGTACGTATGTTGTGACCTCACAGCAAACAGTGCTTGCATGTTCCGCCTGCCAGACTATCGACCCACTTTCCACGCTGGTCACTGAACCGGATGACCCTAATTTCGCCCACGGGTGATGACTCACCCTTTAACGGGCATGTCCTGATTTTGGTCTAGATTGTACACGCCCACATGAAGCGCATGTGATATACGTATAGAATCACTTCTATCCTCACATAATGTATTAATGACGGTCATTTTATGGGCACCCTTGGCTTATTTCCAGTGTTTACTTCACAAGACACGACCTACTTACTTTGAACACAGGTTGAACGATATGTTTGAATGTGGTGGCGTTCGTCTCATATTTGTGGACTCCTCATTGTAGCTGACCTTCTCAGAACAACGTTGTTCTTGATGAAAGTAGATCTCTGTCAACTGGCGCTAGGTATATACTGACTAAATATCACGAGATGCACGTTTCACGTAAGCTTGCTGTTCATGGAGATTGATGGAACTTTCAGAGGGTAGATGTTTTATAATCTGTTGACTCTGAGTTGCTTAACTGGCTAGTGTGATACTGAATGAGCAGCCTACTACCGGATAGAGAACTAACACCTCACCGGATCTGTAGGAATGAGCAGGGAGACAGCTTAATGCGGCGTTCATCATGTGAACAATATGGGGAAACAACCAGTAGTACGTTTCAGATAGTCACCTACCGACGAGTGCTGCGAGACAGCCAGCGTAGACGGATACATACGCAAGCTGTTTAAACGAGGCTTGGGTCCAGCCGGCCACTACATCGGACTTGTGGACACTGTTTCCACTGGCATGCCACAGATAGTCGACTGTCTTACACTACTTAATGACTGGTGGAGTTCGGTTGTTGTTTCTAAGACGGGTCTGTTCGCCTGGTTGACCCGCGTAAAAGGCTTTGTGACTTCTAGTGGAGGTCTGATGGCTGGGCCACTCATTGCCGAGTCTTATTGTTGGGGCAGAAGGACTCTATAACTTACCAACAGTTGTACCGCCAAATCATCCTGAAAACAGGGTTCACAACACTAAGGGTGTGTAGTTTATTCATAATATCCGTAGAATGGGATAGGCTAAGTTGTTGTATAGCGTTACATAGGTTGTGTGGCACCAACATCCCGACATCTTCGACAGCGGGAATCAGGACAGAGTGCCCTAGGCGAAAATGCAGCCCTAAACGACAATCAGAAAACAGAGTTTCTACACCGGTTTCTCGGATATTCCGGTACCAGCATCGTGCCTTGCTCGCTTTATCACAAGTTAGCCGTGCACCTCGAAAGGCGTTTTATTTTCACTGTGTGTGATTGCCACGCAAATCGCTGTTACCTGAGTTAGTAACGTTCACGGAAAGTGCCCACCAAAACCCCCATCTACTACTAGCTACTACATGCTAGCCACTTTAGAAGTTACGATTGGAAAAGAGTGACTGTTTGATGAGACCGTTTAGAGTAAGAAGCCGGATAGATGAAAAACGTCCGGACCGTTTACTTTATTGCCTGTTTACACAGGTTTCAGTCTGATAACAAGTGTTTGCTACTTTGGAGAATTTCATGGGAAACGGATAAGTGTCGAAACTATTTGAGTTTACTTTCTGATCACAATTAACGACGAGTATTGTGGAACTGCTTTCAAAACCCAATGGAGGTTTTGTTGGAATACTGTGTGAGATTGCTGCACAACTATCACCAGAAGTTGCACATCAAAATCATCACATACCCAATAGGTGCTGTAATTTCGTACTCTCGGAACATCAACTGGTGACATTAAATGGCGAGGCACATCGATGATAATCGGTAAGCAATAAAGGGGTATCCCGAACTAGTGAACTTCGAATAGCTCAGTTGTTAAGATACGAACTTACTGTACGAAAGTCCCGTGGTTCGAACCCATCCTCAGCATCTCGACTGTTCCTGTCTAGTCTTGGGGAACCTGGCAGTATCTTGGCCCTTGTGAATTTTCTCGTGGTATAACAGCTTGGCACATCTGAACGTTTAGTTTATTATTTATTATTTATTATTATTATTATTTTATCCCGAATTTGTAATGGTTACGCGAGGGCATCTTACACCAACACTAGGTGGTAAATGAAACGAAAACAAGACGATGAACTGTCGGAGCCCTACTCTATTGGATTCACGTCCGGAATTCGTGAATTTATTTGAACAGTTTTGGAGGTGTGCTCCAAGCACCCCGTACTTTGACAGGGCCTTATTACCTGAAGATCGATCTAACTGGCACAACATTCTGGGACCTCCAACTACAGTGGTCCCCATGTGTAAGCATCACCCCCGGAAGACGTAGTGTTTTCGTAGGGGATGTGACATCGATTGAGGGTTTTAATTCAATGACAAAATTCACCTTGTTACAAGACCCCTCAGTACAGACTACTTGATACAACTACTGGGCATTGCAATCTCACTCAATCTGCAACGGTCATTCGAGATGGGATTTACCGATTACTGTGTTTTTAAGCCCCAAGGACCATCAACTGGTGTTTGTGAAACTATCAGTACTCATTTGTTCCCCTTTGACATGCTTTGAGTATCAAGTAACCTATCGATTAATTTCATGAATCGTCTGTGTCCGGGTTAGTGATTACGTGATATTTCTCTTGGTAACGATTCATTCCTTTATTGATAGTCTTGACAGTCAGCTGATTGTTGTTTACATTCAACAAGTGATATGTGAATGCTCACCCTACTTGCGGTAAGACGTGCAGATCCAACCTTCTCGTTCAGCACAAGAGAAACGGAATTTGTATCTACTCTGCTGACTACCTACAATCGACTTCCGAGGTGAAGGTTACATCTGGAGACACTGCGAGACGGAGTCGGATTGCTTGCGATTCACGAAGTTGATCGAATCGTGTGTAGAAGTAGAGCGGCAATACTGGGACAGTTTCTGGAGTTACTCGAGTGGATTGTAACGGATTGAGTGTGTAGGCACACCTACCTTATGGTTAGGGCTATACTTGTTGCATGCACAATGGATTCTTGCACCATCGATGAGTCAGACTCCTTTCTGTGGGGCTCCGCCAAATGCAGTTGCAGTTGAGCGATATGTATCGTGGACCAGTCTTATCTTCTGCAGCGGTGGTGGATATTTGTGGTTTATGGGACCTTGAAGTTAGACTGGTCCCTTACCTAGTTGCCACCACCTACTGACTAAACTGCTTCGGTCGTTTGTCGAAAATGGACTTTGTTTCGGTAAACTGGTGTACTACACACACTATTCACCATTGGCTCACATTGAAAGGTCGAACGAGGTGGGTAACACATTAATGAACGAGTGGCTGTGAAACGATTCAACGTTGGCCGCTTTTGGCAGTGCGATCTGGATAAAACAACTGTTCGCCCGATGAACAGAAACAATAGCTCAGAATCTGAATCAATACCGAGGTCACCTTTTTATGCTTGAGATATCCATCACAAAAAACAGGCGGTCAGGTTGTCCTTGATTCCGTCTTCAAATTATTTCTCGTTTTATTCACCGTATTTCCTATCACGTCTATGCATAACCTACTGGCGTACTCGGTCTGCATCTACTCTCTTTTCCTCCATCTTCTGGCACAGCCCAAGATCCATCCATGCTACCAACCCTTGGACTCAATGTAATACGCACCTTCAGGTCGGTCAACCCAACATCCGAAGCCCCTGTAACGAAGTCCGCGGCCTCAAACGGATCATCTAGGGACTCTCCTGCTTCGTTCACCTCTGCAGCCCCAGTTAATGCAGACTGCTTTGACTTAGCATGCCTCTTCTCTGGATTGAAAACACTTAGTGGCGTGTGCCCATATCAAATGGCCAATTTGTTTTGCACTCACCTTATCGGCGGCTCATTGCTAACTCAATCATCCCTTTACGAGCTACATGGTCGCATTCTGTCTTCAATGCTATGCGTGGCCGACGCTTCCGAACAATCCAACACTGCCAATGGTGTGTGCCTGTCTGACGAGCGAACTGGTGACAATGATGGTTCCTCGGTCCAACGGTTGAAGAATGGGACCAGCATTCTTGAGCAACTGTTCGACAGTTTCTAAGAAACTCGACTCCTGATAAGCGACTTTGTGGGATTACAGTTGCTCACTCGGGACATGGGTGTTCTCGTACCCGGTGTGCGCACGCTACAGTTCCTTCTAGCGCGTGCATCATCCTGGTGTTCACAAACCTATTCACGCAAAAACCGTTTCCCATTTGTGACGGAGAAATTTTCTTTTTTTCCTGCGATCTTTAATTCATATGAGCAACTATTGACTGTCTACCCTCTCTCTCTCTCTCTCTCTTTACTTTACTCATTAGGAAACAATGACACTCAATCAGGACCAACTTGTTACGTTTGTTTTGTGGGTGCCTCTTTTCAATTCGCTCAACTCACTTACTCAGGTCATTCAGCACGCACACACAGACACACTGGTATGCAATCCTTTTTTCTGACCCGTTTACTCCAACTTTTGTTTATCCGTGTGGCTGTTCTTTTCATGTCCATTGGTTCAATGGTCCCGGTTTTTGCATGTCAGCGAAATCATTCTCAACCGTAATTTTCTTCCCATACCGATTGTGACCGTATCTCGCGGCCTTTCGTTTTTCTTGAATTATGAAAAACGCGCTTCATGTACCCGATGACATGCTGGCAACGCTAAACCGGTGGTAATTAGTTGGAGGCAATGGTTTTATTACTACCTCAACACCGGTTCACCCACCTACACCCACTCACTAGTCTACCCTGTTTCGTCCAAATGACCAACACCTCCCTCCCGCCTTTTGTACCTGGCCTTTGTGCTTTTTATTTGTTGATGTAATCACAATGAATTCTGGCCTTCATCCTTACTGTGTTCCGGTACAATGATCAAGGGCAGTTTGTTCTTTCCTACTTCATCCTGACTCGTCTCGTACTAAGGATTAATTCGTCTTCAGGAACTCTAGCAATTGGAACTATTCAGACAATCGTGCTTTCGTCATTGCACAGGCCACAACGAGTTTGTTTTGCGTGCCAGACAGGGAGCCTAAAGTTTTATCGACTGGTTTGAATCGCTATACCCCGAAGAAGAATCCTAGACTTCGCTGCTGGTAAATTCGTTTAATTGAAGTTTCCTATCTAAGTAGTTGGCCACGTCATCCTGCAAAGACTGGATAGTTTACTGAAGTTTGGAATGCTAAATCGTAGCACTACCGCGGCTGCTTATATGTCTGTGTTGGATTCTTGCAGCTGACCCGGAAATCACTCCTGCGTTTGCATTTTCCAAGTGTACCATGCGCGTTCACTGTCCATTGAAAAGGTTAAATGGTGTTCGTCAGGATCAACATTCACACAAATATCTCGGTCCCTCAGATCCCAATGCAAAATATTGTCACCTTGTTGTGATTGTACCGTCGTGCGCTATCCTTTACGGTTAGATTCATCTAATAGCTTATCAAATCTGGTGGATTAAGAGAAGCGCTAAGCAAAGTGCACGCAGCATACCGTTCAGTTGATAGAGAGTGATTCTGTTTTACAAACAACCAAATGTGGAACTGGTTTACCAAGCCCGTTAAAGGGTCCACTAAGCACGTAATCTATTTTGATGTAGATGCTCAGTGTAACAATTTGGCCTTTCAATCTACAGTGAGACGTACTAAGGTATTTCTCACCAACCGAATCAATTAACCAGTCTGCTTAAAGAATTCGACCTCATCTTGTCTAGTTCATCCACACTTCCTCTTGTACCGATCGATCCTGTGCCATCTCTGTTGATTGGAGTTATTGGCTGGGAGCACGGGACCAGCTATATTCAAGAAGGGAATCTTGTGGAATTCATTTGCACACTTTACAGAATATCATTATCCGGGCCGGAAGAAATATTTTTAATCGTACAAACAAACTTTAAGATCTAACGCGCCTCTGAGCCTAACGGGTGTATGGGAGTAGATTGAGAGACCTGGTCCTATCCATGAGTTCAGTGGGTACTCTGGTGATGAATGTGTAGGAGTGTTCCAGAGCAGATAACAACTTCACCAAAGCAATTCTTTCCTGGTCCATCAGGGTGTGTATGCAGTAAGAAGCACTCTGTTGAATCACTAGAGTTGTTTCTTCAGGAGAATAAATAAAGAGGCACAATAAGGTTACTCTTCAAAACGTGATCAAGAGACCACTTTCGATTCGGTCTAAATTTCGCGTATACTCTGAATGAAGCATGCAGCAAAACCAGGACTGAAAACAAGTATTCGGAGCGAGCACGTTCCTTTTCATCTTGCTACTACAACTAAATGGAGGTTCGCATGTGGTATTGCAAATCGAATTACGATTTGAGGGAGAGTTGCCAATAAGAGCGAATGGCTTGATGAGTCCCGGTCAACCCACCCAAATTTGAAACTCTTGAAAGGTCGAGTTTGTCGTCTCCCAAACCGGAACCTAACCTTAGGACAGTCTGACTAGATCAGTCAAATTAACCAATTCTTGCGAAATATCTCTTGTGGCTTGAATTGTGGTTCTTTTTTGTCTGGATTTCAATTGACACGACCGTCTCCTCCGTTTACTCATCGAACCTACTTTTTCTGTTCGGTTACTCGGTGAAACCCGGTATTACCACTTCGGCACGTGTTACGATGATTGCATTGCTTGCAGTTTGAGAGCGCAGCAGGGTCAACTTCAGGCTAACCACTTGCAGCATGTTCATGACCTTCCTGTAGCTGCGATCAGTTGATGTTTCAAGCAACCATCGGGTCATCTAGCTTATGTTGTCATCAGTCAGTACATGTTTGACGATCTAACCACGTTTTTGAAGCCTACGAGCGGCCGCGACAACACGGTGTTGTGTGTGCGGCGATAAGTCGAAACCTTCCGTCGGTTTGGGTCAACTGTTTTCACTGACTGGTGTGTGTAAAACTAGTAGTGAACTAAAAATGGCCACCCATTTGCACGCGAGGCTCCAGGTAAAATCGGATAACTCGCCTTTGTCACAGACTTTTGCAACCACAATGGCAATACTACTTGTTAATTGTCACAACAAAACCCATTTAGAGTAGGTCTTTCTACACCGACCACACTGTCTACGGTGACCATCTTCAGCTCGTTCTACTAAATCCGTTTTCTGATATTTTTTTAATAACTTCTCGCCTTTATGTGGGGCACTCTAGTCTGTGAGTGTTCACAAAGTCCGTGCTCGGAATTCAAAATTGCATTAGAATTCTTGCTCAAGCACCGCATTACGATGCCATCCCGAGTCACTGTTTTCGACCGGCCGGGTCATCGGTTTCTGGAGGAGGGTATAACCATAACAAGTTGACTCTCACTTATCCATTTTATTCCTTTTAGTCGTGCAGGCGATCACAACATGTAGATTCATAGCAGTCGGCTTGTGTGAGCAACACACGCATGAACTGATATTGTCAGTGTCGCTCCACTGGCATTATTTGAAGATGCGCAACCCAGACGTCTTGTCCAATTGCTCGTGTGTTCCAGACCGCGGAAAAGTGCACTTGTCCAAAAATTTGAGCCAACTTGTCTGCGTACTGCAAGCGGTGCACCGGACAGTCACGTGGCACCTAACTGGTAGCCTTGTCGGTTCACTGTTGGTGTGCCCAACCTTTACCAACAGTGCCTGGGAGGGGGGTTGAATATGCCGTCATTCGTAACCCCTAAGTGAGATCAACGATCAGTTGGGTTTCGATGTGGCGTCAGAAAACAGGATCAACATTGATTAGTACCTGACGAGATAGAGATAGGTTAATTTTCATCAGCGTTGAGAACATCCATAGACCTTAACTTCAATAAATAAATATGACCGGTAAAGAAGAGTTCTCCCTAATCAAGGGTTACTAAAAGAGGCATCCTAACTTGCTTGGGTTATTAAGTATATTTTCGATTACGAAAAATTGAACAGGAAAGTGACACAGAAGAAGTACTCCGGAGCGAAATAGTGATTGGTTGTATGATAAGACTTGTTCGGAAATATCAATTGTAGGGCTTTGTTGTTCACTTAAGCTTAATATACCAGAAAATTGAGGAAATTAACTTGCGAACAGCAGTTGGTTTTTCCATTTCCAGTGCGCCCCAACATCTAAGCCTGTGTCTGTGTTGTGCTTAAATAATTTTCGTCTTACGTGTATCGCGTTCAATTTTGTTTGTAAAAACCGTCAATCTGCGTCGACCCGAAAAAGATATCGCGAAAACATTAATGTTCGTCGACTCGTGTTCTGAAGTTCACGGTGAGTTCCATTCAACGTTTACACGCTTATGGTATTACAGCATGGGTAGATCTTTTTACGGCGCTTCCGTTGATTACAATCAGTTACTTAGGTTTTTTCGGTTCTTTGCGCCGGCTGTAGAATCATGTGGCTATCAGTGTAACGGTGCTACTACCGATGGGGGTGGCATGCGAGTAGTATGTTTTCTCGCAGACCCGCTTTGTGTCTCTTGAAAAGTAAAATCTATTACGGAATTTGTGGAGTCACTTTGTAGCATTTGCTTGGATTTGAGCAACAGTCAATGAATATCCAGGAAAGTTCAGGAAGACGCGTTCAAAGAGAGGATGGATATTCAGATGCATATGAGAGTTTTGCTTCGCTGTCCATTAGTCTGTAAGTGGTCAGCTGGCATTTTTTAGTTAATAACTCCGCAGCGAAGGCCTGATTTCTTTCATTAGTAGTGCCAGTGTTCAGTAAGTGGTAATGCAGAATTATCCGGACGATGTTAGAGGAAGCCACTACACGTCTCATCCAGTGTTATTGGTGTTGCGTCAGAACCAAACGAAGATGGAGGATAGTGCTCCGCTTCCACACACTCGAAGACGGACTTCTTTATTGATTAAATGCAGCTACCACTAGACGTAGGCGATGTTTTACAGACAGTACTGGTTAGGGGCGACCAGTCTAGTCACCTTCTCTATGTAGAGAGCCCTTGTTTCAAATCCATATGGTAATACTACAAATACTGAGGCATTTTACATGCATCCACTGAGTACCAGACTGATGTCCCGTCAGGTTCAAAAAATTCTGGAGGTTTGGGAATGTCGCTTGAGCTTTATTAATACAGTTGTTTATTTTATCCTAGATCCCGTCAGCA